AAACGTTCACCAGTTGTGACAGATAACATTGTCAAATTCATTAATACATGCCTTATTTTGGCCTTTGTAAAATATCAGAAGGAATTTTTGTGGAGATCTTAGTAATTTCAATAGTTGAAATCATGAGTCAATTGAAACTAGACTGCCATAGAAAATCTGGAAGCACTTGACGGCAATTTCGTCCTAGTATGGCACTACTCAGCAGCGCGCATCCACGATCCCGTGCCCCCCCCCACGAGATTCGATCCCAGGACTTATCAGTCTTGCGCGCGAGCGTTTAATCACTAGACCACTGAGCCGGCTGGTATTCAACGGTCTTAATGTCTAACTTCAACCAATCCACGAAGTTGCTCCACCGTACACCATTGTATTCAGTGAGTTGATATCTCACAACAGACCTGGTTGAACTCCACTGGTAACGAATTATCACTTGAATTCCAGGAAATGCCTCTTGAAATCAGTCACTAGTGAGCAGATGATTGTTATCAGAAGGGGTATTTGTGGAGATTTTAGAAATTTCACTGATTGAAAATTCTCGGGGTGCGGGATCGTAGATGCGCATTGCTGAGGAGTCCCATACTGGGACGAAACGGCCGTCCAGTGCTTCCAGGTTTCCCATGGTGGTCTAGTTTAAATTGACTCATGACTACAAAATATCGCAATGATTACAGACCTATAACTATAGTGCCTGATGATAAAGTTATTGAAAGCAATTGTTCGTTCAAATATTCTTCATTTTTCAATAGAATGTAAAATTAATTTGGGACGAAATTGATTTTTGTAGTAGAGAGCAGTTACCTGTGCAATTCCAGAACTCCGGGGTTTACCGTACAAAGAGTGGTTTGAAAAGCTAGACCTCTTCACTCTGTCATATCGCAGACTAAGGGGAGATCTAATTTTGATGAATAGGATACTAAGAAATGATTTTGGACCTAACATATTCTCTCTTCTTCTTCCCACTAGATCGGGGCATCTCAGAGGACGTAGCAGGCGAGTAGTAAAACCAAGAACGAACAAAATACCCCTGGCATACAGGTTTTTACTCTGAGTCATTAACACTTGGAACCTATTACCTGAAGCAGTGGTGTCCGTACCTTTAATTGACTCATTCAAGAGAATACTGGACACTCATAGAAGCATACTAGAAAAAGAATAACACTGGTCGCTGACCTTCTGTCCTTACTACACAACTCTGAATCTAAACCAATTTTAAAGTAAACTTTGTATTATTGAGTCATAAATTCCAGAAATCACTCCAGGTAGGATCAAACACAATAATTCAGTTATACCTATTGATTATAATAGTTTTCATCTTATAAGATTTCCGAGTTAATTTCCTACAAGGAATTATCAATGATTCAGTGATGAATATTAGTTAAGGAAATTAGAGTATCTAAATCTAGTTTTAGTATGAAATTACTCTTTCTCTACTCCTCTTTTTCTTCTTTGTTACATGAATTTTTATACGTTTCTCTATTGCTTTCTAGAAGTAGAATCTTTGGAAGGAGAAAAACTCTCTCCCACATATAGTCATTATATAATAGTATTAGTAAAAAAGAAAAGTAAGGAAGTTGTTTTACTATTCTCGATCTCAACAGAAACTGATTACGTCAACAATGATCAGTGAAAAAAATTGTAAACACTAGAAAACTATAATACCAGTCAATTAAGATTATTTTGTTTCATTAAACTATCAAGCATAATAACAATATCAACTCATCTATTAGTGATTATCATTAATTTACTAAGTGAATTATAAAATGGTATAAGTTTCAATAACTGTATTTACGAAATTTCATATTGATTAGTTTTCGACTTGATTTTATACCACAACAAATAGTCTTTTAATAATTGAATTCACGAGTTAATTGAAGTTAGATCACCATGGAATACTTGAAAGCACTAGACGACCGTTTCATCCTAGTATGGGACTCCGCAGAAGTGTGGATCCACGATCCCTCCCCCTGAGATTCGAACCCATAACTTATTAGTCTCTTTTAGTTTTATATTGATTTCATTCATTTTAATATTCATTTCATGATAAATATGAAGCAATAAGATGGATTTTAAGTGATATTATCAATATGAAAAAGAGTTGAAGAGACTATTTTTTAATGACCATCTAATTTTGAAGCCAGTGATTAAAGAGTCTATACAAATTAAAGTATTTCATAGGAACAGGGATAAAACCCTTTTAAATTTTAGTGATGTTTGAGAAATCAAATAAGGCTTATTATCAATTTTTCGATTTTAGTATTGTAGAAATTGTTATAACTTTTCAGTTGAATGCTACTTACTATATCTAATCGTCGCTGATTGTTATGTCAGAAACTCTTATCACACATACTCGGAACGAGGGACCTCTGCAATTCCCACGACACGAAGGTAAGAACACATAGACTGGTATAAGTGAAGATGTATTGACCCACAAAACACGGCGACGACGAAAACCCTAGTCGAAAATACACTCATCTATATATTGATTGTACACCCATTTTGATTAATAATTAGGATGAAATCACATATATGAAAAATACTTAGAGTTATAGCAAATCATATGCTGAGTATAGTTCATGTTAACTTAATACACGAATATCATATATTACACAGAATAAAATAGCATACGAGAGGAAACAAAACAAATACTGTAGTGAACAGGACACGAGTGGGGACAATCGAATGTACTTAACACAAAATTACAGGACTTGTTCATAAAATCTAACAATCACAAAGTAAATGCCTGATTTGCAAAATGTCCATCAGTTGTCTCAAAATGACCCAGACTTCATTGTTCTTGCATTTTCATACAAATTGCATTTTGTTTCCATTCTTTACTGTTCGATCCTCTTGTCTCTCTGCTGCCAGACATTCTGTTCACGACTAACATCATCTACTACTTATGTCAATATAAGTAGCACACACCACAATACTACACTAGATAATCGTTACATTGAATCAAAACGGAAGTAATTTTGAACAAAACTCATAATGAGTAAATCAATCGAATTTTGACATTTCTTTCCATCATATCAGAAATATTGCCGCATAACTTCATTATTATTCAATCTAAACAGTTTCTTCCTGAATTCTTCAATAAAACCTTCATTTATTTATTCTCTGTAGAATTAAGGAGATGAAAATATGGGATGACCAGTGTGACTAGCTTCAAGATGGATTTCCGGGATTTCTAGCTAGGAGTCATGACCAGTTGAGTTCCACCATGTCTGATGTGAGGCAGTTACTTATTGAAGACAGTAGTAGACGGTCGCTCAATATCGTGAACTGGTGAAAGTTAGACATTAACACCGTTGAATGCTGGTTCAGTGGTCTAAAGGTTAAGCGTTTGCACACGAGACCGATGATGCTAGATTCAAGTCTCACGTGTGGGATCATGGATGCGCACTATTGAGGAGCCCCATACTACGACGTCAACATATCGATATGAAGAATTCACACGTAAAAATTGTTGTCTGTTTTATTGTTCCTACTTCAGTAGCTCACCTATTATTCAGTCGACTATTAACAATGTGATTTGTTTGTATTTATTCAGAAGAAAAAATAAACAAACGAAATAAAACTCGTTAGTTTATATGTCATGTACAGTTTACATAGAAAGAGGGACACATTTGACTCTGTTTAAAAGCATTATTTTCACTTTATGAAAATAAACAAAACATTTTCCTCATACTTTTAAACATCCCATAAACATTTCTATTGTGCATTTTATGCAATAAAACACAAAGGTTCTCGTTATATCCGAGCGAAGATTAAATCACGAGTAACTCCTGAGACATATTGACTAGTATTATCTATACATTCTTATGGTATAAATATTCAGTAATTTTATTTTATTTATTATTTATTTTAACACATAGATATTGGTATAAGGAGGCACCAAATATACATGCACCACACAAATCCCATTCGATATGTGTGAGGGCTGGAACACTGCCCAGGTACCCAAGCCGAAACAGGTAGTTTTCTTAGGGAGCCACTCCCCGAACCTTCGACCTGAAGGTCTGATCCACAAGGCAGTGGAGCATCATAAGGAGATACAATCCCATGGTAGCCGGTGACCAACGATTAGTTCATACGCCATTTGTTCCCGCAGGATACTGGAGCCCATGTGCATCATTGGTTTGGAATCCGGTTAAGGCTCCGGACATCCGCTTTTCGTCCTCACATTTTCGTAAACAACACCCTAGCCACGAGAAGGCAGTGAGTAGGACTTCCCTGGCAGAGGCCATATACGCGTGGCCATGTGAGAGCATTTCGAGAGGAAGAGCGGAACTCTCCTTACTCTCGGCCGTACCAGGGCATTTGGAGAGATTTAATAGTTAGATTATGTATATTTATATTCCTCTTATTATAAGCTTCATTTTGACCTATAATTTATTATTGTACGATTTACGGTTCTTAAGCTATGTTCAGTTTATTGACTACTGCCTCCCACGTTTAGAGTCACTTTTTGGCTTTATTGTGTAAAAATGTTATTTTCTATTTTATGGTGCGTTGCGGTCTGTCTGGTTGATATATAAACCGAGTATGTTTGAAATAAATGATTCATATTGCAGAAGCTGGTGCTTGTGTTCTGGACTCAAGTGGACGGGCTAGGCGGACATAAGACCAGTAAGGACGCTAGGCTGCTCATACCGGTCGAACGTCATTGGTTTGGCACAGTGGTTAGATTGCATAAGTCGCGTTTTGATTGGTGGATAAATCACATGATAAAAGCCGGACATAAAATCATAACGATCCTGCTTTTTTTAAAATTTCGCTTAATTCTGATTGGTTCACTGCGAAATTATTATCCCCATTTATGTTAACCCCCATTAAAAACAAAACAAGCCATATTGACTCAAACAATAAATGTATTAACATTTAAATTTTGATCAGATTATTGATTGAATAAAATGAACTTTTTCTTCTCAGTTCAGAATAAATACTGATCTACTTTAATTCAAAATGATACTACTGAATTCTGATTGTATTATCTTGTGTTAAGGAGCAAACCTATGGGTAATAATATCACAAAGAGAATAAACACAATTCATTGAATACAAATATATGAAAATGATAATTAATAAAGTAGGGAATCTAATATAGAATAACAATGGATGGTGAATGTGTTTTGTATTTATTCCAGTCATTTATAGATGAACTCATGTAGGGAATGATTGTCTTTGTCCTAAATTATTTCGAAACTTATTAAAGTTTTGTATTTTAGTAAGCTTATGTTGCCTTTTATCTACCTTTGATGTTAATCCAACACGTTTTCAGTATTTGAGTAGTGTGTTATGTTTAGTATTTTCGGAAAAAGTTTTCCTTTTATTTGGTAGGTAGTCGCTGCATATTCGAGCGTAATTTTTATTAGAGTACTCAATTGAAGTCATACTCTTCATATATTTGTATTTTCATACTACATGTTGCGATAAGCGACATTGACTTATTTATCAATTCAAAAGGTTGAAATCAAACCCCTTAGTAAAAATTACACTCTGATTTTCAGCTTTCATTAGCTGAATAAACAGAAAAAAAAGGTTAACAGTATTGGATGTTACACATTACTGGGATACTATGAATGGGAGAGATAACTTCAGCCTTCTTTTCATAGTGATCATCAAATAAAAAGTAAATTAGGATTTTATAAAGGGTCACAAAAACTATCAATGAAAAAATTTTCATTTTCACTGGTACAATCCCTTTGTAAATGCTTCATTCTATTGACCCATCGTTAAATCATTTTCCATAAGCATTAAACTGTGGTGCGTGCTACTTATATTGATATAAGTAGTATATTATGTGAGTCAGGAATGTAATGTCTGGCAGCAGATGGGGGAAGATCAAAAAAGCAAGAGCGGGAATAGAATGCAATTTGTATGAAAATGCAAGTACAATGAAGTCTGAAGCAATTTTGAAACAATTGGTGGACATTTTGCAAATTAACGATTTGATATATGGTTCTCAGATTTTATTGAGTTCCTCTGTAATTTGTACTTTAAATACATTCGATTGTCCCTACCCGCGTTCTTGTTCACTACAAAACCTCACTAGAGGTTTATTCCAATGATTCGCATTTAACTTGTAATTGATATCTATGTAAAATTCTGAATAAAATCATAGACTTATGACTTAAAGCAACTGTAAGCAATTCCAAAGTTTGATACTTGTAAAATCATTGTCTAGAATGTAAGTATATTCAATTCAATAAAAGCTAGTGACTAACAAGAAAATGTACACCCTTAACTTATTCCAGTAATAGATGTGTTAAATTTTTTTTTAAACGGAGTTTGTGTTATGCAGCCAAAATAGGGCAATTGAAAATGGAAATTGGAAATATCACATCGTTCCCTTTAAAAAACAATATAATCTACTTTTTGGTTAAAAGAAATCAAATCTAAACAAGAATTATAATACGGCAGTTTATATAATTTTTTTGGAAGGTGATCTATCAGTTTTTAAAACTTACAATAGCCTAAGAACTTGAAACAAACATTTAAAACAACAAAAAGGAAAATTCTTCATTGATATGTAAATCAGAAGATTTATTTGTTTATTATGAAATGAATGTGTAACTCGGAAACTCAAAAGAAATAAATTGAAAATAAGACAGTTAGAAAACTTGCCCCCAAATACTCTCACATGACCACGCGTATACAGCTACAACCAAGGAAGTCCTACTAACCGCCTTCTCGTGGCGTAGTGTTGTTTACGAAATTAAGAGGACAAAAAGCGAATGTCCGGCGCTTTAACCGAGTTGGTGGACATGGAGGATCCACTTATGGGAGTCGGAAAACCATGATTCCAAACCAATGGTGCATATGGGCTCCAGTATACTGAAAGAACAAATGGCGTATGAGCCAATTGTTGGTCACCGGCTACCATGGGACTGCATCTCCTAACGTTGCTCCACTGCCATGTGGATCAGACTTCTAGGTCAAAGACTTCGGGCGTGGCCTCCTAAGGAAACTATGTGCTCCGGTCTGGGCACCCAGGCAGTATTCCAGCCTTCACACATATCGAATGGGATTTGTATGGCACATGTATATTTGATGCCTCCTTGTACCAATGTTTATGTGTTTAAATCAATAAATGTTAGGAAATATTTGACTATGCTGCTCAAATTAAACTTATAAATTTAGAAAGAGACAACTTTTGATCAGTCATCCTCATGATAAATTGATATTTTAATCATATACTCTTTATTTATTATCACAGTTATTATTATACAATATTCCATTGGTTAATTAATATTCCATCTGTTCTAAAAATAGCTTTCCAAGCACAGTTCCCACTCACCCAATACATAGAGCTTATGCAACCTTATCAAATATATTTAAAATTACTGAATAACCCATCTCATTAATTTTTGAATCCTTGGTAATTACTGCTTTACTTGTTTGAGTTTTTTTTTTTGGATTTATCCTCAAATGACCTTACACATACAAGTATAAAATAAAGCGCTTTTGTGTCATTTTTTAAAATATGAATTAGACCATAAGCAACTAATGCAAACTTTCAAATGAATTCATTTTATTCTCTTTCAAATGTTAATTATGTCTCATTGAAATTCATAAAGGAAACTAAGTCTAAGATACTTTCAATTATAAAACTTCTTGATATATCACTTATTCCTTTAATGTGGTTATGATAAATGTCAAATTAGCTTTTACTGATCATGGCAATAAGGATATTTTTGTTCTAGAGTGTAATATTCATGAATATGCTGAATTCTTTTTCTAATTCCTTTGTTTCCTTTCTGTGATAACATTCATTTATGTTATATGAGAAAAGAGAAATTGTATGATTTCCTTATATGCATCTCTATTGAAATCTACTAAATACTCAGAATTCAACTAGTCATGGTCATATATCTTCAAAATCTATTCATACTTTAACTTTCTGTGTTCGTGAATTCTCTGAAATAGATAATCTAATTGGTTATAGATTCCACCAGTATGAATAACGTTATCAACACCTACTTCCATCCAGAATTAGGATTTTTTAATATTCCACAGTTATTAAATCAACGATTGTCTTCGTATGTTTTAATTGATTTAATTTATCAGTCAGTCAGTCAGTAACAACGTAGAACTTAGTACGTACATATATCAGTCCGAGTTGCCATACCACATTAGCACAGAAATGCAGTTATCGATTCAAATCCCATAGTGGTAGAGGTAGCAAAAGTATAAGCAGTAATTAGAAACACTAGGGTTCGAAGATGTTATTCAAGGAGTATAATCCAGTGAAGTAAATTTGTAAAGAGAAAAAAAAGAAACAAAGAGAATTCAAAAGATTAGAATTTGTGAGAACATAAAGAGTAGATGCACCTGCGCCATTGCAAACGATTTTGAGCCATGTCATTCAGGGTCTCTAACCATCGGTTGCTATCATCTCGAGGTCCCCAAATAGGTAGTCTACACCTACCAACATGGCTCAGTCCACTTGTCAGTGACTTCATGGACTTGTACCATTTCATTTGTCAGTTATAAGTACAAACTAAATCAACAAATGTGAAGTAATTGAAAATCTCAATTCGGAATGAAATGGATTCTGACCATGTTATCCATATAGAAGGTTAGTCGTTAAAAAGTTTATATCTGAACTTCAAAAACAACCAACTTATCTGCAAATTTGGTTGATTATTTCAGACACTTGAGGTTGATGCTCATCTCTGTGATCTTGTAATATTATGACTGGTGGTTGTTTTGACAGTGGAAAATAAATTTTGAGATAGAAAAACTATCGGTATTCATAAATTTCTGAACAATTATTAACTAACAATGAAAAGAATATAATGAAACTTGATAAATGACAATTTCCACAGTACACTTATTATTTTATTTGTAGAATATTTAAAAAATGATTGATCAGTTCTGTTAAATGTCTAAACTTACGGCCTCCATTACCACCGCCAACGCTACTGCCTCTTCTCCTTCTACCACTATTTTTTCCTTCCAAATTAAGTGAAATACAAAATTGATATAATTTATTGTTATATGTACACATATACATGTTAGAGATTAAACACTGTCAATACATTTATTATTCTCTTTGCACAGGTTTCTTAGAATATAAAGGAATATCAAACACAATCATACATATTTGAAGTAATCGTTACTGAACATTCGTTGCAATGAGTATACATTTGTTTTAGTTCATTTTAACTGCTTTATGGATTATCTGAAATACTCAGTATTGTTGTGATATTGTAAGGAACATCTGAAAGTCATACTGAAAGTACTTATATATCTAGTCCTTTGTAGAGTTTACTCTGTAATCACTGCTTAGTTTCAAGTAATAACTCTAAAGACTTATAGCAAAAGTAGTAGAAGCAATAAATGTGATCTCTTTATTGTGTTCATTTAAAAAAATAATCCCATTATTCAGGTTTATTTTCGACGATAACGGTTAATAAAATATCGCTGACACTGAGTGAACGTTATGTGCATATTTTAATGTGATTATGTACGAGATTGGAAAACTAGATAGCTTCAGATTATCACTAAATTCAGAAAGTCTGTAGAAAAGAATGGGGTTTGAAGAGCATGAACTGCATTTCTCAATGGTACATTTTTAAAAGAAGAATAAGTTGATTAATTTCATGTCATACGAACTAATTTGAAGTAGATAAACTGCTCAAATATCCGCTCTTTATTAGTACTATAAAGTAACGAATATTATAGTAGTTGATACTGGTCTTTCGATTTATTACTAATTATAATTTGTTGTATAATTACTGAGTAACTAGACTACATTGTATATACATCCCGTTATTATAATAAGCTCTTGATTGATACACTAACTACTGTCATATTTACTTACTGTTTCTAATTTGTAAGCAGTCTAATAGTCATAGTCTTGCCTATTCACGGTCACCTTTGGTTTGTTTATGTATAATTGTTATTTTTCAATTTATCATGTATTGTGGTCCGGTGTGCCGGCATATAAACCACGTCTGATTGGAATATAAATATAGTAGAGTCTGGTTGCTACTTCTGGATTCAAGGTTCAGCATAGAGGGAGACTTAGCTGTCGACTCAAAGTCACTAATGATGGTTGGACGTGTTATTAGGCAAGTCACAGATAGTAAGCTGTAGAGTAAATAATGTGCGCGAAACAAACCTGAGTGTAATCAGTATTCTGGTTGGTGACTTAGCACATAATATTGGTCAGATGGTTTCAAGACATAAAAATTCCTAGCATTATTATTATGTAAGACAGTATTACTAGCAGAATGACTAAATTCATGAATTGAGCTCAATACTTGAGAATATTTCAACCAGCAAATAAACTTACTCTCGTTCCCACCAAAAAACAAGCCGAGAACTAAAGCCAATAAAAGTTTCTTTTATGCTTACCAAATCCAGATGGATTAAAACAATCAATTATATTTGAATCTGTTACAAACGAAGGTTTCGATTAAATTCACGACATTGAAGATTACATCACGAACTAAGATTGACAGCTTTCTTTGATATGAACGAAGAATTGGTAGGGACAACCAATTCATTATTCAATGCCAAGTTACAGAATGTTTTCACAAAATGTCAAAATCATACATCAAATACATCATTTACACATCTTCCTTCAGTTCTCCTTTACATGCTTCATAATTCTTTCAATTCCGTTGTTATTGCAATCATTTTCTGTTTTCTTCAATTAAACCTTCCTAATCTTCTTCAGACATACGTTCTACTTCCGATTGGTGTTACATACTACTTATGTCCGTCAACAAAAGCAGCGTAGACTACATTAATAGTTCGGATTCATGTATTTGTCAACAGACTCAAATATCCTTATGTTTTCAGAAACGCTTTCTTGCTGATTTAAAGGTTATAAAACATATTGTGCACTGAACTTAATTTCTTAGATAACTTGATAGATCGATTTATTATCTCAACTTAGATGTAAACAAAGCCCATCGGACTCTAAGCCATTAACTACATGGCTACAGTATTTAAACCAGTCGTAGAAAACCAGTCTATAGATATATTTTTCAGACTAATAGAAACATGACTGATTAAAATAAATAAAACACTTCATGTGTACATGAATGACGCTTAGTAGTTGCCGCATCACATTATAAAGTGATGACGCTACTACTGGTTTCTTAATGCTTTATCACCAAACTTTTGTCTGACTCGTTTCAAAGTAAAAAATCTCAACAGCAAACTTTCCGGACAGTATCAACAAAATCTTAAGTGATCATTTACTATCAATAAGAAAGATTGTGAGAACTAACATAAACAGAGCCTTTTACCGAATGATCATCATTTCAAATAAGACATAAGAATAAAATCCAGATCATTAATAGATATATACTTCAGTACTCACAGTCAGATAAATCAACCTCAGGACCCTTGGGACCACGTATTCTTTCAGCTAAATCAGATAAAATATGAATGTGCTAACATTTGTAATTTTTGTCAGAGACTAAAGAACATATTATTAAAAGTGTCTTCTGTTCGGTTGCTTAAAGTGGAGGGGAATAGTTAATTAGAATAAGTTTCACTTCTTATAATCCAGTGTTTCACCTAATCGATAATACTATCATTTCCTCTTCTCTGTATGTCTATCACAATTGAAATCAGTAATGTTTTTATAGATTCATTGCAAAATTCATTGTCACTCTTGTTACATTCAAATAGAACTAAAGATCTTATTTCAAGCATTAATTTCATTTATTACCATTTATGTTTATTATTATTTCAACATATATTGGTACAAGGAGGCACCAAATATACATGCACCACACAAATCCCATTCGATATGTGTGAGGGCTGGAATACTGCCCAGGTGCCCAAACCGAAGCAGGTGGTTTTCTTAGGGAGCCATTCCCTGAGCCTTCGACCCGAAGGTCTGATCCACAAGGCAGTGGAGCATCATAAGGAGATGCAATCCCATGGAAGCCAGTGACCAACGATTGGTTCATACGCCATTTGTTCCCGCAGGATACTGTAGCCCATGTGCACCGGGCATTCGCTTTTCGTCCTCACATTTTCGTAAACAATACCCCTATCACGAGAAGGCAGTGAGTAGGACTTCCCTGGCAGAGACTATATACGCGTGGCCATGTGAGAGCATTTCGAGAGGGAGAGCGGACTCTCCCCACTCTCGGCCGTACTAGGGCATTTGGGGGCCCATTTATGTAAATAGCATTGATTGATATGTACAACAAGAGTGTAGAACTTTAATTCTTTCATGAACCGTGGTAACGTTAGAATGCTTAAGCAGTTGTTGTCGCTGTAAGATAACTAAAATATGCATAGGTGACGTGTTCTTTTTTTGTAATACAACTCAGCATTCCGTCAAGATTTACTTCTAGTACGAATAGATTCCTATCAATGACATAAAAAGTGATACGGTTTCTTCATGTAGTCATGCTTGAAACACTACTGATATTATCCATTTCTTTGTTCGATGAGTAAATCAATCAGCTATAATTGTGTGTCACATGTGTAACAGTAATGATATAATCCGCTTCTTTTTAAAATTTCTTTTCATTTTGGAAATGTATTGTGTTTAAATTTCACCAAACTTCCTGTATCTTAGTTAAATTACATTTTCTAAGTTAAAAGGAAATTTTAACTGAATGTTGAATCGATTTTACGTAATGATAATCATAAAACTTCTTTATGTAATGATCAAATAATACTAAACTTACGTTCTTTCCCAATAAAGAGTCTACTGAAAACTGCAGTAAATGAAAGTTTGTTTCATAATTCTACATTCGACCATTTAATGTCTAAAGTCGTGCTTGTGTAGTCCTAATAGAATTCTATTGACTAGGTTGCTACGTGGCCACTAGTCTAAAAGACTTGGCATCAGCTCCAGAAATAGTTCATTGTTAACGTGTTACTTAGGACTGCTAAGATGGGTAATGTAGGGTCGAATCCACTGGGGAGCATCAGCTCCCTCGAAATTACAGGTATACATTTATAATAAGTACCAAGTGCATCAAAACTTGGTCTGGGGATTCCTGTTGACAATCTCACATCTCAGCATAGTGCATGCGATGTCAAGTTACCACAGTTAGCTCACTAGTGACTTATTTCAATGTTTCTGAAGTTCTGTTGATAAATTGTGATTGATGGAGACATGTCAAAAGTGGAACAGTTGTTATCGATGGGAATGTATGGTTGTCTCGCTATAGCTCGGATTGATTGAAGTTAAATTTGTAATACTGGATGTCGACCCAGTGATTCTAATGCTTAAGCGTTCTTCCCAATATCTGAAGATTCTGGTCCAGTCTCTGATGGAGTCGTATTTTCTGTGAAAATTTCACACTAGGACGAAACAGATATCCTTTACCCCTCGATTACCAGTGATGCCTCAAATGAGATTACGATATTGTGAATACAAGTTACAAATTAAACTAAAATCGACGAAACCACTTTAAGTTACCTAAACTTGATCAACGTTCATTCTCTGTATACGGCATACAGTTATTTCGTATTACATAACGGAACGTTAAGATGAGATGCCTTTACTTTTCATGTTTGAGTCAATTAAGATAAAAATTTATCAGATGATAACTTCTCAGTAAATCCAGAACATAACCAGATCCCAGCGGAGGAAGAAATTAGGAAGAAGCGATGGAAGTGGATAGGACACAGATTGGGGAAAGCACCCAACTGCGTCACAAGACAAGCCCTCACATGGAATCCTCAAGGCCAAAGAAGGAGAAGGGGAAGACCAAAGAACACATTACGCCGGGAAATGGAGATAGACATGAGAAAAATGAACAAGAATTGGATGAAACTAGAAATGAAGGCCCAGGACAGAGTGGGTTGGAGAATGCTGGTCGGCGGCCTATGCTCCATCGGGAGTAACAGGCGTAAGTAAGCAAGTAAATCCAGAACATGTGGTCCATGGTTCAACGCGTCATATTTAATTCTTTCATGAACCATGGTAACGTTAGAATGCTTAAGCAGTTGTCGTCGCTGTAAGATAACTAAAATATGCATAGGTGACGTGTTCTTTTTTTGTAATACAACTCAACATTCCGTCAAGATTTACTTCTAGTAAGAATAGATTCCAGTAGCCATGATTGAAACATTAGTGATATTTCTCTAAATTTCCTATATCTTAGTTAAATTACATTTTCTAAGTTAAAAGGAAATTCTAACTGCTTGTTGAATCAACTTTACAAAATGATCATGATAAAACTTCTTTATTGAATGATCAAATAACTTTTCTTTGAAATACTAAACTTACATCCAATCCAATCAAAGATTTTAGTGATAACTGTAGTAGAAAAAAAGTGTGTTTTATACTTCTACATTCGATTTGGTTTAAATAAATAAAGTAAACTTGGATCTGCAGATAAAATGTATTCTTATTCTATGGACAGCATTAAAAACTAAAACAAAGGTGACTGATAGTCTCGCTCTACATTATATAACCTTATAGTTGTATTAATTTTGTCTATCATTTCGATTTTTTTAAACATTACTTTAATATAAATCTGTTGATTACATTATCAACTTTTGTACGGGACTTATTTGTTTCAGTAATTTAACAGAAGGAATTACAACTTTGCATTAACAAGATGGATACTATATCTACTGAATCCCATGTAATCAACTACTTATTTTCGTTTTGTAGTCTGCATTGATGACTGACCTTAGTTAGAAACCACTGAAAGCCAGGAAGAGTTGAACAGATATTCTGTCCTACTATGAGACTCTTCAGTAGCACACAAACAGAGTTGGGATTGAAAACAAAGTCTTTAAGTCTCGTTATGAGTGTCTAAACTTCAAATCACTAAGCGGACATCGAATATTTTGCATATAAAACTTCAGTTAATTCGGGATATCACTCAACTATTTTGCACTGCTATTGATGATTGACTGCCTCACGCTTGACATAGTAAAACTCCACTGGTCACGCTTTCTCAACAGAATTCCGGAATTCGATGCTCGGAATCAGTCACTAATGATCATATGATTATAATTAATACAGGGAGTTTGTAAGGAACGTTGGATTTCATAGTTTGCAGCATGGACTGACCATAATGGGGTTGCGAATACAAGTACAGAATATTTTTCTAGTGCTTCTTGCTTTCCAATGATTGTTTAACTAAGGTCAGTCCTTGATGTAAACTAATACACTCAACAATCTTCACAAATCCCTATACACTCCTCCATTATTTAATTAATAACAAATGAATGCTACAAACACATACAAGATACACTCTATTACATGTGTAATGAATAGTTCACCACAATCAATAAACTTTTTACATATACAATGATGATAATCCGTATTTACCGCCTTAATTTACTTTTCATCATCGAGACATATATAATCACTAACTTGTAGCTAACTTTTTGTAATATAAAGAGATAGTATTTTTTATAAGTCATTGTTGTTATGATAACTGAGTCCTCTGAAACATGAAATCCCTTGATTTCTATGAATAACGGTTATTCAAATAGAAATTCGAAAAACTCATTTATATGAATCAAATGTATCTTCTAATTCAGTAGTGTAGAATACATACATGAAGAATATCAAGTTTAGCATTATTTCAACTCTTGTAAATATGTAAATTTTGAAGTGAGGAAGCATATCAAGAAAATCTAACTAAGAACTAGTTATTAGGAAATTAATATTTCAAAGTAGCTATGTCTCTTGTTGAACAAAACATATTAACTCTGAAAACTTGAATATGAGTATTTGGTATTCTTTATGCATGGTAGAAAATTTCCCAACTTGAAAGATGTACAAACATTTCTGAAGTTTCTAAGCAGAGATGGATGGTGGGTAGCAGTAGAATCCAAGACACGCGTCTCGTCCTTTTCAGGACTCGTCAGCTGGATGTACCCGCATCCCAGAGTTGGTGTTCACTACGGGACTCGAACCCAGTACCGCTCGCTTCAAATGGCATCGCATTATCCACTTAGCTACTGAGTCCGAATAGCTACTAGCTTGTGGCAATATCGAGGCAATCCGCACAAGATGAATATATACCAATAGGAGACTGATCAATTTCAGTTCTAAACATCAATGGGAAAATTCAAACAACTAATAGAAAAATGGATTAATTCTAAAGTCTTACTCCATTCTGTAAAGTAAGCAAAAGCAATAACTACATCATTTAATGTAATGTGTTTATAATATACCTTAGATATTTCATTGCACCACCAGACATATACAATCGTTTACCGATCGTATGTCACCAATATGATTATAATGATAGAAATTATTCAGAGTAGCGAAAATATCAGTGATCAAAGAAAAATAGAACTTCGAAAATCGCTTACGCCGAGTGCCTGAGGAATTTATAATTTCAAAAACAAAATGTAAGTTCTCAGAAGGGGATTTTGTGGAGATTTTATTAATTTAATAGTTGAACTTATGAGTCAATGAAGGCTAGACCACCATGAGAAATCTGGAAGCACTGGACAACCGTTTCGTCCTGGCATGGGACTCCTCAGCAGTACGCATCCACGATCCCGCTCGCGGGGTTCGAACCCAGGACCCACTGGTTTCGCAAGAGAACGCTTAACCGCAATCTCGTGGACTGGTTACAGTTAGACATAAAGACCGTTGGATATCAGCCGGTTCAGTGGTCTAGAGGCTAAGCGTCCGCGCGCGAGACTGATAGGTCGTGGGTTCAAATCCCGCGAACAGGTTCGTGAATGGGTACTGTTGGGGAGTCCCATACTACGACGAAACGGCCGTAAGGTGCTTTCAGGTTTTCCATGGTGGTCTAACTTCCATTGACTCATGGATTCAACTATAAAATGTACGTTTTTTTAAAAAAAAGTTTAGACACTTAACCATGATGAACAGCCAACTATTATCAACATGAAATTACTTTTTAAAAAAATAATTTCCGCAAAAAACCAGAAAAATTATTTTGGCAAAATTTGAGTAACTCACAGTCAACTGCAAAGTATGAATTAATTTAAAATACGGTATAATATGATATAGAATAAAATAAACTATAGTGAAATTCTTTCGTGTATCGAACTAAAGTAATACTGTAATGAACGAAGAATTGGTGGGGACAACCAATTACACAGTTTTTTTATAAAATGTCAAGATCATACATTAAATACATCATTTGTACATCTTTCATCAGTTCTCCGTTACATGCTTCATGATTCTTTCCATTCCATCGTTATTACATCTTCTCCCTGTTTCCCGTTCTGTTTCCTTCAACTGAATCTTCTTCAAGTATGCATTCCACTTCTGATTGATGTTACATACTACTTAAATCTGTCAACAAAAATAGCATACACAGCTATACTAACAACTATAAATAGATACTTGAGGAAAATGTCATTTATCCATTTATCAATCCTTGAGGTCTACATTATGTCTAAATCGATCATATAATCTTCATTTTTGTAACCATCATAACTAACAAATTCTGAAATATGACCGGTTACAAATGTCAGATTTTCGTTCAGTTAAGAATAGAAATAAAATGATAAAACATAATCTTAATTTATTCAACAGTTTTAAAAACCATTATAACTATTTTACAATATCGTATAGTTCACTACAGATATTGAATTCAAAGTTGTTATAATCTTCATAAAATTCACTTGATATAGTTTACATGTATCTTCTCAATGTTATTTAGGACTGCAATTGATCAGTCTTATACTACCAAATGTGCATCCTGTGCGAATTGCCTCAATATTGTCTTCATAAAAGTTTATAACTGGATATTAACAAGAACCAATAGTAAAATTGGTAAAAAAAACATATTTCGTTTACATAATAGTGAACTACAACATAAAATAAAAGGAACTGTAATAGGATTCTCTAAGGGGAATCGAAGGTCAATATTGACATATTTTCTCTAATAGAAAACACTATAAGATGTTTATTTCTTGTCTAATACAAATCTAAGAAATTACTTTTTTATAAGTTAAACCTTCATATTTTTGTATGATAATAATTCCATTAAAATTTATTACATTATAATCTCTCTCTTTTTCTGAAAAGAGAACTTTTAATGCCTTGATTTTAAACAAAAATGGAAATGAATGGTTTCAAGTTTCTGTTGGTAATTTATAAAAGAAAAAATCCATGTATAAACATGAGTCAATTGAGGCTAGACCACCATGGAATACCTGGAAGCACTGGACGGCCGTTTCGTCCTAGTATGGCACTCCTCACCAGTGCGCATCCACGATACCGTCCCCCCCCCCGCGAAATTCGAACCCAGAACTTATCAGTTTCGCGTGCGAGCGCTTAACCATTATACCACTGAGCCAGTCGGCATCCAACGGTGTTAATGTCAAACTTCAACTAATCTACGAATTTGCGACACCGTACACCATTGTATTCAGTGAGCTGATATCTCACAACAGACCTGGTTGAACTCCACTGGTAACGGCTCCTCACTAGAACTCCATGAAATGCATCTTGAAGTCATTCACTAGTGAGCAGATGATTATTATAAGAAGGGGTTTTGTGGAGATTTTAGTAATTTCAATAGTTGAAATCATGGTGGTCTAGCTTTAATTGACTCATGATTTCAACTAGTGACATTAATAAAATCTCCACAAAACCCCTTCTAATCATATGTAAACTTTGTATATGGGATCGAACTACAAGGAAACAAACTACATAGTACTTTTAAAGAAATTTAAGTAAGCAGTACTCACTTAGTTCTGTAAAACAAAAAAATTTTCATCAAAATATTTATTTTTATTGCAAAAACAAAAGAAAACTAGTTTATATAAGACTTCGGCGGCTTGAACATATTCTACAGATGTCGTCCCAGAGAATTCCACTTCGTGCATTATTTACCGACGCTGCGACTGGTTGGAAAAAGTGGAGATGTGGTCAGATCATGACATGGTGTCGTGGTATGAAAGAAAGATGCAAACGGCTAGTTTCTGTCGGTCCTTCACGACTCCCCGGCTGGGGTCCGAGAGATGGTGCAACACAGTGGCTAGAGACGTTATCAGATATGGCTCAGAATAGAAGCCACTGGCGACCCTTTTGTAACCTTCTTTTGCTTTCTTCATAAAAAGTGGTTGTAACTTCCTTAACTGAAAGAATTCTTTCCCATTCCCTCACTATTATTATTATTATTAATACTACACTACCATACACTAATCTGTAGTCGGTATTGTTCTTTTTTTATTATGCGCACCTTACATTCTTTTCCTCTTCCCATTCTCATTGTTTTGTATAGTACATATATATCTGTTGCCCCCTTATACTAATATTTATATGTTCAAATAAATAAATAATTTTGTCGTTCACTTAAACTTAAGAAGTTACCATTTCATGTTTTCTTTAATTATTTTGTGAGAATCATAGCTCATATATAATAAAAACAAATATTTATGAAGCACTTACGGTCAATTATACTACAGTTAACTATCATAAAGCGAAGAATTATGTCATTGGAATTTCAAAATTCTTTATTTACAAATCAATGACTTGTTTCATAGAGTTATATCAAAAATGAAAATAATCCGATGGGTTAATCAAGTAATTTACAATAGTAGTTTCAAATCAGTTGATCATTAGGTAATGAGTTAATAATAAATATATTTTTTAAATCGTTGAAATCACGAATAAATAGAAGCTAGACCACAATGAAAAACCTGGAGTTCAACCGGGTCTGTTGTGAGATAGTAACTCACTGAACATATTGATGGATTTGTTGCGTAATTTCGTGGATTGGTTGAAGTTAGACATTAACACCGTTGCATGGCGGCTCAGTAGTCTGGTGGTTAAGCGCTCGTGCGCGAGACTGATAGGTTCTGGGTTCGAATTTCGCGTGGGGGGCGGGACCATGGATGCTCACTGGTGAGGGGTTCCATACCAGGACGAAACGGCCGCCCAGTGCTCCCAGGTTTTCCATGGTGGTCTAGCTTCAATTGACTTATGATCTCAACCATTGATATTACTATAATATCCACAAAACCCTTCCAATATATTTTTGTTGTTGTTATATCCCAATGAGTAGAAAAATTGTATTTCTGACGTTTTATAACTCAATGTAAGCCACTTTTATTATTTTCATTTATTCACTGTAGAAGTGACCTACACTGAGTTACGAAACGCCAGAAAATTCAAAAAACTAAATTTTTCTACTCATTAGGATATTACAAAATATACTAGTTTTTTATTAATAACAATCTACCCAATGCTCAATTCACTTGAAATTACCAAATCAAACTTTAGTAATGACACCTATAAACTCAATAACTGTTTTTGTTTATGATATAGCGACTGTGAAAAAAGCAAATGTATAACATTACCGAACCAACTTAAAGCATACCACTTTATGTGGAATAATTTAGATTTTTTTCAATATCTTTTCCCTACGTTAAATTGTTAATTCTTTCTTACATACGAAGAGATATCTAACGGTTAAATTATCGTCAAAGATTGATTTACAATAGGATTATCATTGTTTCAAATTGTTTAAACGTTATCTTCATTGAACTCAAATGAAAAAATCGAGTACAAAAATGAATGGTGATTATGATGATGATAATATCATTGAGATTATATTGACGTTTTGATATTGGTGTTTTCTCATAAAGTCAATAGGTTTTGTTGCTAGACAGTTTTTCTGAATCAATCAATTAGATATGTTGTTTATAGTTTAAAACGTCTTGGTGTTGGATGGAACACATAAAACGACCTGTTCTCATTGATTTTAACAGTGTATGAATGTTCTATCATCTTGATTTTCTTGTATAAATTTTCTGTCATCAACCTGATCTTGAAAATTCCACTTATTTGTAAAACCTATGTGCTACATCTTTAATGTAAGCGTGAAATATCATTTGAATACCGAAAAGACAAGATCCAATAAGTTAGAGAAGACTCGGTATATGATGTTGACTCGGAAGCGTAATATTATAAAGTACCAATATATTTAATACTATGTACACTAATCATAATAATAAAAATATGATCAAACTCAAAAATACTAACATTATTTCTTACCTGTTCCTAAGAGGAAGATCACAAACGAAGCCATAATGAGTACCCTACAGGAAAACATTTCGTATTAGAGATTATGTTGATGACAACAATTGATTCACTTATATAGAACAGAAACGCACCAATGAAATTCTGCATGAGTTCTACCAATTATAGCTTACTTAGCTAGTGTATCTTTCACTTCAATAGATCATTGAAGATAAAACGTATGACTAGCTTACAAAAGTTTACCAATTATCTTAATCTATCACAAACTGACCACGTTATTATTGACTAACTAATTAAACGCATTTATCAAACATACACAATAATAAATTCCTTATCAGAATGGGTTTTGTGGAGATTTTTAGAAATTTCACAGATTGAAATCATGAGTCAGTTGAAGCTAGACCACCATTGGAAACCTGGAAGCACTGGACGGCCGTCTCGTCCTAGTATGGCACTCCTTAGCAGTGCGCATCCACGATCCAGCACCACGCGGGGCTCGAACCCAGGACCTACTGGCTTCGCGCGCGAGCACTTAGCCACTAGACCACTGAGCCAGCATCCAACGGTGTTAATGTCTAACTTCAACGAATCCACGAAGTTGCGACGCCGTACACCATTGTCTTCAGTGAGTTGCTATCTCACACTAGGACGAAACGGCCGTCCAGTGTTTCCAGGTTTTCAATGGTGGTCTAGCTTCAACTGACTCATGATTTCAATCTGTGAAATAAATTCCTTGTTTTGGTCCAGCGTTGAATAATTTAACGATAAGGCAATGTTACCTCTAAAACATAGTTCTTAAAGTACCGTATGGCCTCACTAATCTATGAGAACACATTATTTTTGTGCGAGTAAAGATGCAGGTAAATTTACATGAAAATTAAGAGCAAACAGAATGGACGTAGCATATGAATTAATTCAACCTAATATGCCACCCAAGATTGATGAGATTTCAGTCAAAAAATCTATAACCGGATAATCCAAACCATCTTAAATTGAATTAAATTATCAGGTTTTAAAAGCGGATGGAAGTATGTTACTGAAAAAAATAATGTTAAGTGCCATATAATGCCAACTATACAAAAAGGATTGACTTTAAGATTAAAATTAGCAGATCTCAGACATAAAAAGGGACTAAAAAAATGAACTTGTGATTCCAAATGCAAAATGAGCTGTCGCGCAACTAATTGCCAGAGAGTGAGGTCACAAGAATATTACAAGACTAGAAATAGTATACTCTTGAGTACATAAATTAAGTTCAGATGTTTTGGTAGCCATGCTTTGAGTAAAACGCAATGTCTTATGTCGTCTACTTATTGATAGTGTTGAATGACTTTATAAAATCAATATCCACCACTGAGCAGATAATAGAAAACCGTACTGTTGAAATAAAATGAATAAACCCACATTATCGTGCTACTTTCGTCCTTGTTGTTCTATTCAAATCTATCGATGGGAAAAACTGTGTAATATTTTGTTCTTCATAAATACGATAAAGTTGACAGTATAAGTTTTCGTTAATCACTTCAAGACTATTAACACAATATTTCTTATCAGGAATAAATGGAAATTGTGATCAGTTTAGACTGATTATTCAATCTCAAAGAACGGCCCTTGGGAAGTATCTCAGCACCATTTTTTCTCTCAGTAGACTTTTATGTTTATCCAGGCGGAACTATGATTTACAGGCGAACCAATGAAACTTAAGAGGATGTCTCTTAGATTTTTGCATGAAATTCACTAACGCATATGGCTAAACAGCCTTTTAACATTATCACAGATACAAGTTTCTGATGAAAACCATAAACATAACTCAAGACCCTAGTTCCCAAAACTAATTCATGGCCCTATTGTGACCCTGGTTAGTGGTCGAAGTTTCTCAGGGCTGCTTTATTATACCCCAAAAGCCATCCATAAATTATCGCCTAAACAAACTCCACCTGTAGCTCTTCTAGAGTTACTGCCGGTCCTAAGCCCGGGTAAATGAGGAGGGTTGGGCATAAAGTCGGCAACCCGGTCCCGTAGAAAAGACCTTGCTAAAAAACTACCAACCAGATTAAACAAATTAGACCATCTAAACTCTGCCCTTCGAGTTGAAGGAAGAATTATGACGCCACGTGATGAAAGCCGAGATTCTTCGGAAGTCACGAGGCCAACGCCCCTTCTAACAACCACAGCAACAATTAATATAGGTACATGGAATTTCCGGACAAAGTGGGAGACCGGAAGAACTAGTCAAATAACAAAGGAAATGAGGAGATAAAAATTGGCGGTTCTCGAAATCAGCAGAACCCACTGAATCAAAGCTGGACAGAAAAAAGTAGATTCAGGAGAGATCCTGCTTTACTCTATTTATGAAGAAAATGCTCTGCACATACTGTTATTTAGATGCTGTCCAAAGAAGCATGAAATGTACTTATTGAGTGGAAATCTCATGAACCCAGGATCATCAAAGCATCCTTCAAAACAAAGATGGGAATCACGATGAATGTTATCCAATGTTATGCACTCACCAATGATAACAATGACGACATTAAAGATCAATTCTATGAGGGGCCCCAATCAATCATAGCGAAGTACCCAGGAAAAACTGACCATCCGGATGGGGGACCTAAACACCAAAGTCGGGATGGACGACACTGGATATGAGTCAGTCAGTCAGTCAGCTACAACGTAGGACCAGGCACATATGTGCATCGATCCAGGTTGCCATACCGCATCAGCACAACAAGATGAACACCGGATTCATAGCAGTGGTTAGGTCAAAGGTAGTAATATGTAAGAGAAAGATTGCATATAGAGATATAGTACAAGAAGAACGAATTGGCTCGTAGAAAGAAAGATATGAAGTGATTTTAATCTCTTAGTTTAAGGGAAGACAGGGAGTGTATACACCGACGCCATTGTGATCGATTCTGAGCCATGTCACCAAGAGTCTCCAACCATTGGTTACGAAAGTCACGCGGACCCCAACCAAGTAGTCTGCATCTACCAACATGGCTCAGACTAGAAGTTAGTGGCTTCAAGCACTGATGCCACGTTTTGGTTTGGCCGCCCCTAACCTTCTTCCAACCATTTCCAATACCGGATAGCATTGCACGTCGTGGTAATCGGTGTTCAGGCATACGTAATACGTGGCCCAACCATCTCAGTCGATGAAGATTCACAATAACATCAACTGATTTACCATCATTCCCTAATACCCTGCGTCTAACCTCACTATTACTTACCCGGTGATCCCAGCAGACGCCAGCAATATTTCTAAGGCATCTGTGGTCAAATACTAATAGCTTACGAGTGTCTTCTACTCTTAATGGCCATGTTTCGCTGCCGAAAATTAAAACAGAACGGACTGCCGCGCAGTATACTCGTCCTTTTATTGATAGACGGATATCTCGCCTCCGCCAAAGGTGACGCAAGTTGGCAAAAGCCAATCGAGCTTTTCGAATCCGTGCTGAGATTTCGTCAGACACCAACCCATTAGGGCTGATCAGACTTCCAAGATAAGTGAAGTTGTCAACGCGTTCGACTACTTCATTCCCTATCCTTAGTTCAGGTGTTGACACAGACCAGTCCTGACGCAACAACTTGCATTTAGAGGGAGAGAACCGCATTCCAAACATCCTGGCATTGTTGCTTAGTGCTACCAGAAGACTCTGCATTTTGTCAGCGTCTTCACCAAACAGGACTATGTCATCTGCGTATTCTAAGTCGATAAGTGGACCTCCTGGATGGAGATCAATACCCGAGAACTCAGTCGACGAGAAAGTTATTTCCATCAGTAGATCTATGATGAAGTTAAACAAAAATGGGGAAAGTGGACAGCCTTGACGGACACCACTTGAAGTTGCAAAAGTAGATGACAGTTCGCCATAAGCCCTGACTCGACTGGCAGTGTTCGAGTAAAGAGCCTTCACAAGGTTTATGTACTTCTGAGGTACGCCTTTCAATGACAGACACTGCCACAGAGTCTCGCGGTCTACAGAGTCAAACGCTGCTTTTAAGTCAAGAAAGACCACCATTGTCGGACGCCGATAAGTATACCTGTGTTCTAGAACCTGACGAATGGTGAATATGTGGTCGATGCAGCCACGACCAGGTCTAATGCCAGCTTGGTTCGCTCGTGTTTGCAGTTCACGAGTCTTAGTTAGGCGTCTGATAATTATCGAGGCTAGTATTTTAGATATTATATTAGTTAAACTAATCCCTCTGTGGTTGTCACAGGATGATTTTGACCCTTTCTTATATATTGGGACGATAAGTGATTGTGACCAGTCAGATGGGATAAAGTCTAATTCCCAGATCTTAGCTAAAATATTAGTCAACCTAATCGCTAAAATTGGACCACCATCCTTAAAGACCTCTGAAGCCAATCCATCTGCCCTTCCTCGTTTCAGATTAGCTATAGCCTTTTGAACTTCAGCAAGAGTTGGGGGACCTACTTCAATGTTCCATTCACATTGTCTGGGAATGGAGGGTAGTTGTAGAGTAGCTGAAGGCCAGCTGAACTGTTCTCTGAAATGTTCCGCCCATCGTTCTAAACGTCTGGACTGGGAGCAGATGAGTGTATCGTCCTTTTCCGATATAATCTCACTTACACTTGACTTATTAATTCCAGTTTCTTTTAGTAGTCTGTAAAGCTGTCTTGTGTTCCCTATAGTCGCCGCCTTTTCCATCTCTTTTGCTTTCGTTGCCCACCACTGCTCACGGTCGTTTCTTAGACTTTTTCTTAACCTAGATCAGATTTGTTTTCGCTCTTCATCATGTTCAGAACCTGATGGGACGAGTTTGCGAGAATCCATCAGTGTGACAGACCTTGAAGAAATCCACTGGTTCCTTGCAACTCTGTGGTTTAAGTCACTAATAGATGTCACTGCTGTTTCCACAGCTGATTGTATGTCCTTCCAAGCAACATCTGTGTCAGCCTCGTCTTCACAACTACCTAAGTGTGACCTCAGTTGTTCTTGGAACTTATTTTTGGTTTTCTCGTTACTCAACTCAGTTCTAATGGGTCTTTTTACTGTGAGGCGCAAGCAGATGCGTGCCCGTATTAGGGCATGGTCGGAGTCCAAGCAGGTACTCCAGAATGAGCGACAATCTTCTACCGACCCTCTCCAACGATGACTGATGGCAATATGGTCTATTTGAGTCCATCGTTGGCTTGGTGCAGGCGGTCGCCACGTTAGACGATGTCTCTCCTTATGCTTAAAATTTGTGTTTGCTAAAAGTAAGCGATTGTCTGAGCACAGTTGCAGCAGACGGTTACCATTATCTGTTCGCTGTGCCGGAATGCTAAAATATCCACCTAAATGCCTTTCTGTTTGGTTTAAGCTACCTATCTGAGCATTAAAATCACCTGCTACGAGTACTATGTCTGAGCGTTTAGCTTTCTGAAGAAGTTCAGAAAGCTTTCTGTAAAATTCATCTTTCACATCATCTGAGCTGCAGTCAGTGGGAGAGTAGGCAGAAACGACGAAAAGGCAACGACGTGTATCCCTATCCTTCCGAGTTCTTACGGAGCCGTTCAGCCGAACAGCACATAGACGACTGTTGACGGGGATCCACTCTAGCAGTGCTTGTTCGGCCCTCATGCTTAGTGCTATGCCTACACCTGCCAGTCCACGAGAACTGGCCATCGGGTCACCAGATACACGGAGGGTGTATCTCGTTGGCTCTCCGTCTTGTCGAGGTGAGGTCAAGTGAATGACCACACTGGGATCCTGTATGCGTGTTTCAGAGACACAGCATACATCAATGGAAAGAGACTCTAGGGTTTTAGCCAAGGAAGCCTGCTGACCGATTTGACATAGGGTGCGTACGTTGAAGACTCCGATGTGTAGTTTAGAGCGAGGTTTCAGTAGACCTGGGACAGAATTTTGAGCACTAGAATCGTTGGCTATGGTGACACTTGAGGAGGAAGCCGAAAGAAGAAGTTTAGAGTTGAAGGTCGATGTAGGAGGAATAATAGGAATTAAAGATGGAGGTTGATTATGAATACAGTGGTCTCGAGTGTTGTTAGAGGTATGAGGGCGGTTATCGCTTCCCGGTTGCCCACACCGTGGAAGGGTTCTTCTGGAGGTACCTGAAAAGGAAATTGGATTAGAGGTGGTCTCAGTGACCTGAGAGCGTGACCGCAGTGCCCAAGGGACAACTGCTTGAGGCCGGTCGCGCACGGCCTTTTCGTGGAAGGTTTTCGACGTGTTAGCTCCGTACTCGTTGAGACCTTACCGCCGGAGACGGATATCCGTGGGATAAGGCGAGGTGTGCATTTTTAGGGTCGACCTTTTCTAACCCCACCCCTCCTTGTGGGAAGGCAGCATCGCTGTCATGCTGGTTGTCTGAAGGAAACACCTTACTGCTGTCACACCTCTGTACAGTCAGCAGTACGACTTCGCCTTCGGACCTTGGGTTTGTTGCTTTTAGTCTTACCGCTCTTCAACCGACCTGTCTGACATGGTAGGACCTTGAGGAACGGTTGTTCCAGCCAGTATAGCTCGGTTGCTTCATCACGATAGGCAAGCCCGACCACCACGTCAAGGTAGCAACAACGGTCGGGACACTGGATATGAAAATATCATGGGATGGCATGGACTTGGAGAAAGAAACGAAAATGGTGAGGGTTTTGCAAATCTATGTGCATTCAACAAAATAGTTATAGGTAGCACAATATTCCCACACAAACGCATACACAAAGCTACATGGATCTCACCGGACCATACCACGGAGAACCAGATAGATCATATTTATGTCAGTAAAACATTCGAAAGGGCAATGGAAGATGTGAGAACCAGGACAGGAGCTGAAATAGCTTTGAATCACCACCTGGTGGTTGCCAAGATGAAACTGAAGCTAAAGAAGCACTGGACAACTGAGTAAATACCATCACAAAGGTTCAATAGAGCCTTCCTTCGAGATACTGACAAATTCAACGAATTCAGAACAGCTCTCAACAACAGGTTACAGGCCTTACAAAACCTACTCAAAGAAGAAGAAACTACTATGGAGGACAACTGGAAAGGGATCAAAGAATCACTAACTTCAAAGTTTCAGGAGGTTCTGGGCAGCAAAAAGCACCATCATAAGGGACGGATCTCCATCGAAATCCTGAACAAGATTAAAGAAATAAAGGACAAGACAGCTATTAACAACAGTTGAATAAGAACAGAGAAAGTCAAGGTACAAGTTGAATACACTGACGCAAAAAAGCAAGTGAAAAGGAGCATTAGATCTGACAAGCAGAAATATGTCGAAGACCTAGCAACGACAGTGTGAAAAGGTGCAAGAAGAAATATGAAACAACTATACGACACGGGGGAGAAACTAGTGGGGAGATATAGTAAACCAGAGAGACCGGTCAAGTACAAAGGCAAGCCAACCACTGAAATTCAAGGACAGAGGGAATTTTGAATAGACCAGCTCCATTGAATCCACCGGACACCGAAGCAGCGCCTACAGACCTCCCTATAGGTGTCACTACATCAACAGTCGAAAAAGTCAGGATGACCATCAGACAAGTCAAGAGCGGAAAAGCAACAGGACCTGACAATTTACCAGCTGAAGCACTGAAGTCAGACATAGAATTAAATGAAGACATGCTCCACGTTTTATCCAGGAAGATTTGGGAGGAGGAACAAATGCCGACAGATTGGAAAAGGGACACCTCATCAAGGTACCAAAGAAATATCTGAGTCAATGAAACAACTAGAGAGAAATCACACTATTATCGGTACTAGGAAAAGTTTTCAACAGAGCGTTGGTAAACCGGATGAAAAACTCTATATACGCCCAACTTCCAGATAATCAGGTTAAATTCCGTAAAGATCGGTCGTACACAGACCAAATTGCACCATTACGCATCGTTTTTGAGAAATCAATGGAGCACGACTCGTCACTAAACATCAACATCCTTGACTGTGAGAAAGTTTGACAGTGTGGAAAGCAGAATATTATGGGAACCTCAATACTATAGTGTACCCGAAATCGTCAATATTATACGGAATTCATACGACGGACTACAGTGCAAAAGCGTGCATAGAGGACAGCTGAAAAATACATTCCAAGTAGGGATCGCAGTAAGACAAGGCTGTTTACTCTCCATTTCTCTTTATTCTAGTAGTTGACTGGATTATGAAGACCTCGACATCGGAGGGGAAACAAGGAATACAATGGACAGCTCGGGATCAACTAGAATATATGGAACTTCACAGATGATCTGACCTTTCTATTTCACACACGAACGAATGCAGGTGAAGACAGTCAATGTAGCAGAAACCTTTACACCAGTAGGACTCAACATACACAAGGAAAAAATCAATATCCTCAAACACAACACATAGAACACCAACCCAACCACACTCGACAGAGAAGCTCTAGAAGATGTTGAATCTTTCACATGCCTGGACAGCATCATCGATGAACGAGGAGGATCTAATGCAGAAGTAAAGGCGAGGATTGGTAAAGCAAGGACAGCATTCTTACAGTTAAATATATGGAACTCAAAACAACTGTCAACTAACATCAAAGACACAATCTTCAATACGAACGTCAAGACAGTTTTACTGTATGGAGCTAAAACTTGGAGAACTACTACAGCCATCATCAAAAAGGTACAAGTGTTTATAAACAATTGTCTACGCAAAATACTCAATGTCCGTTGACCTGATACGATCAGTAATAGTCTACTGTGGTGGAGAACAAATCAGCTTCCGGGTGAAGAGATTAGGAAGATGTTGGGAGTAGATAGAATATACAATATGGAAATCATTAAACTGCATCACGAAGCGCCAACTTGGAATCTTGAAAGTAAACGGAAAAGAGGAAGGCCAAAGGACAAATTGAGACGGGAATCGGAAGCAGACACAAGGACCAATAGCAACTGAGAGTCCGATGCTGAATGCTAGTGTGAGACCTATGCTCCTCCATGAGAGGGAACATGCGTAAACTGTCTGAATGATCAAAACTCAAGCAATTCATAGTTAACTACTACACCTTGGTGTTACGCATTTGCCCATGATATCGTTAATGTCATTTCCTTTAGAAATTATATAGCTCAAAATCTTTTCATTTTTATTTATGATTGATTATTCATGATAAGCTCCGTAACACATACTATGAAACGAAACTATAATCTTCAGATGAGTTTCGCCAACTTAGCCCCTCATCAGAGGCACTATTCACTGGGATATATTTAAGAAAACCACCAGGGTATACCTTCTGGACTTTTTAAGCAAATTTCCTAACCTAATTTTTTTGTCAGTGAAATGAAACTAAAAAGCATATCTTGACACATTTGCATAAACTGTCAATAGGCTGTTTTGCATAATTTTTGGTCTGGCTATTCGCATCTGAGTAAAGCTAATCCATTTGCTTATTGTTGGAGCGTAACAACACATTTCACAATTTTACATCAATGAAGTGCTCAAAAAGCGAACGATAACAAAAATAACTAATTTTCTAATCACAGCCTTACGTACTCAGCTTTGAACAAAGCTTTTGATATGAGAGCTCACCACAGTACCCGGCTACAAACAATGAAGCGATGAGCTCGTGGATTCCTAAGAGTTAAGTTCTTTGATCACAAACCCAATATTCCCCATACGCAAGCGTGAGACTAAGTGTCTAATATATAAACCCATACATGGTACACTATTATTCCCATCGAAGCCTCTAAGTCGTGGATATCCTACCTCTTTATTATATTATGAACAAGTTCAATGAAAAAATCGGCACTAACATTAAATGTCATAATCTTAAACCATTTAATATGAATGCCGCACTTGAAAGTCCACTATCTGAACTGTGTTTATAATACTTAGTTTCTCTATTTGAAAGTTGTATGGTAATGAAGGACTGAAAGTTCCTAAAATTGATTTTAGTGGCATTTCCATTGGGTCAGTTTTTGAAATTTCCAAGTAATTTAAAATTAGGACTCTACTAAGGTTTTTGCTTTGTTAACAACAAAGAGGAATACTACGCGTTGTACAGTTAACAAACTTAATTATCTGTTTTCCATA